GCGAGCCAAGATTGAAAGTGCTCCAGCTCCAGTTGATATCCAGATTGATCAACCAGCTTCTCAGTCGACTACCTCCCAGAATCTTCAAAAAATTCAACACTACCTTGATGGAGTCAAGCTGCTGCTTGTGGAGATGAAAGAACAGGTAGATAAGAGCAAGGATGTCACTAAGGAAACAGGTACAGATGTGGCCAAGCTTCGGATTGACATAGGAGCTACAAGGAGACAAGGAACCAGGGCTTTCAATTCCATAAGTGAAAAGATGGACAAACTCGTCAAGCATGTTGAGAATTCTTATGACTCCTTCTGCACCAGAGTGATCAACACCCTCAAATACTTTCTGGGACGAAATTAATACCTCTGGTTGTGCTGTTATTACAAACAATTTTTTGCTTATGCTTATTTTTGTTGGTGGGTTCTTTTAGACATTTTTTTTTTGGTTTGTACTAACTAAGCCTCTGCTGAAGGCTCTAATACTCTAACCACCTTATTAGTATGCACATTATATTCTATCTTGCTCTTTGTATGTCTTTTTCCTTTTTGATTGATGTCAAAAGGGGAAAAATGTGAGTAAACAACTCAGGACAACTCAGGAGGGGATATAGGACAGCATAATGGAATAACACATAATCTCAAGGGAAGCAACAACTCAGGGGGAGCAACTTCGTAAAGGGAAAGTATCTTAAATTACTTTGTTTACTCCTTCTTGATTGTCATCATCAAAAAGGGGGAATTGATAGGTTTAAGTTTAAGTTTCGATAACGACAATATTATCTTATGTTATATTTACAGGACAAACAAAAAGGAAAGAATGGAGATGCTCAACAAGATTGCTACTGGATGCGAAATAGCAAGTAAGGAAAGAATGAAGATGATGTTACTACATTAATGGGCAATCAAAAGAAGCAGATTGACTCGTCCTCAATCAAGGGAACTCAGATTGCTAATCATGGATTCTCTAATTAAGAAGATCGTGATGTGAATTAAGCTACTCCAGGCATAAACGACTCTTTAAATCAAGTTGTGACAAGGAAGGTCACAATCGAATCTGGGCTCTTCAAAGAGCAAGATTTTAAGAGGCACCCCTTGGGTCAAATCCCTTAATCAAAGTTCTTGTGCCTCTGATTTCGCTGAAGACGCTCTTTTCTCTCCTATAAGAAGGCTGATCTCTCAAAAAGAAGATTGTGCAACTACACACATTGTATTCTAAGTCTATCTACTTCTTAGTTCAACACTGTAATCCTTAGTTATCAGTGTCTCAAAAGATAGGGAGATCTAGAACACAAAAGATAGTTGTGTCAACTATTCTGAACTCAAGTGTTGATACTGTTCGTTGGTGATGAACGCGTTAAAACCATATGTATTGTAACTTATTCAAAGACCTTAAAGGAACCCTTGTGACCCAAGGAAAACTGGATGTAAGTACCACAACGGTACCGAACCAGTATAAATCGCTGTGTGTTATACCTTTCTTTACTGCTTGCTTTCATTCTGTGATGTGGTCAGTGAACTAATACTTGTGTTAGTCGACTAAATTTTAAATAGTCAACAATTCAACCCCCCCCCCCCTTTACCTTCAGTATTTTTCGAATTTTGAACAGTGTTTTCGTTCAGATTTATCTTTACATGAAAAGTGGTTAAATTTCGATGACTTTTGAAACTGTGGCTATTTTTGAATGACCACTTGTAAATCTGGCTATTTTTGAATTTCTCCCGTAATAATGTTATTGGGCTGGTCGGAATACAAGAGAAGTGATAGTAAAAGACAAACATCACTGGAATATAAAGCCCATGAAAAGATTGTGTAGATCTTAGTTGAGAAAATTCTCGCCCAGCCCAACTGAGGCCTATCCTGATTATGTTGATTTTTAGAGGAAGAGAGGGGTGAGTTAAAAGGGAAAAGGACATTGTATAGCCGCTCTCAAAATAATAGCCAATCTATACTATATTAAAAGTGGGAAGCTCCTAATTGAAAAGTTAAATTACTATACTACCCTTTCTTATCAATCTAAATATCCTATTTAATAAAAAAAAACCTAATGCATAGGAAGAGAAGCAACGGTTCAGAACCGTGTTTTGAAGAACACACGCATGTTTAACTTGCTACTTGTCCCCGCCAAAAGTTCACTTTCTTGCTAATCAATTTGCGTATTGGGGTTAGTCTTGGTAGAACAGACTTTGTACTTCTCTTCTCTTCTCAGTGCTCTTACCGGATATTCACGGTTCATTCTATTCACATATGGAATCTGGTAATTTTATTCTATTCTTTTCCCATCCTTTGCAGTTTAATGTTAACAAATTCAATAGAAAAAAAAGGTTTGGGGTGGGGATAGATTTGCTGAACTATTTAGAATGATAATCTCAAGAGTCAATGGAGAAGAAATGCACTCAGAAAATGAAATAAAGTACTAAGACACAATAGAATATAGATCTTGAACAGAATACAGAATTTTATGACTTTGAATGAGTCTATAATCCTTTACATATACTACTTGTGCTTGTTAAAATTCTTTAGAAGTTTGAGAATCAACTTCTGAAGGTGTTCTTATTTAGAGGTTATTTGATGCAAACTTGTTATACATTTTCTTAAGATCAGAAAACTGAAACCTTAGTGAATGCAATGTATTAATAATCTTATTTCTCGAAAATAAAATCTATTTTGACTTTTGATGACCCAATCTTTAATAACTTTTAGTTTGTCTAACTGACATTGACTTATGATAGAGGTGTATTGGAAAATTTAATTTATACTGGTGTCATGGAACACCAACAAACTTCAGTAATGAGCAGTACTACAATATAGTGCTATAGTCGTTTTATAATGAAAAGCTTCATTATGAAATATGTACACTCTGTTTTGCCCAAGCTATTGATGTTCAAATTCTTTGAACCATTTGTCATTTCCTCTTGATACTCTATCGTGTGTTTCTATTTAAATAATTTTTTGGTTGTTGTGTGTAGGATTATTCTTCTTGTAATATGTAATATCAAATTGTTAAAAGTTTAGTTTTCAAAGGAAATCACAATTTATTCCATTATAGCTTACAAGATTATTTAAAACTTAAATTATATGCTGCACTATTTCATGTTACTATTGTGTTTCACTCCTATAGAATCAACTGTAATTTACTTTCATGATCGATGTTGATGCAACTACACCATTCTCTTTACTCCAGTTTATTTGCTATTTTCCTTCCTTTTGCAGTAATTTTTCTAAGGAAAATTCACCAAGTCATTAGGCCGGGTATCATGGTGCATGTATAGTTTATTAACTTAGAACGATCAGAAAGTTAGAAAGCAGAGAACAAATGTTAAAGTTAATTGTTTATGTGGATTAGTGGACGGTGAATTAAGATATTCGACCAGCATGTGCTTTAGAAGTGAAGAAAGTGGGCTACAATGGAGTTCAAATTATTTTAACCTTAAACTTTAATATATTGCATATTTGCATTCATAATTAAACATGTATGCATAGCTCTGTTTTGGCTTTAAACCACCATGTGTACTAAGAAAAAGATTGTTCATATTTTTGACTCATCTTTTGCTGCCAAATAAATGTTTATCCCAAGAATTCACTTTTTCTCCCATGAAAATGAATGTTTATTCCAAGAATTTAAATTTCTCCCAAATGAAGGATATCCTTTCAAGTTCATTCGAAAATAAGTTCACGTACATTTATGTTGCAATGCCATTTAAATAAACTACATGGTCAAATAATAACCTAATATTGAATTTTATCCTAATTTCTTAAATGACCAACTTTACGCTGTCAGGAGAAATATCAAAGCTGACAATGAACGTCCTTATCATGACAGAGCAATGGAAACAAATGAAAGGAACATATACCAGTAATATCGTCTATAAGAAAGTATAAGTGAAATACGCTTTATTACATATTTCTACCTTATGATAAAATTAAGTAAAATAATCGCATGTATCTAATTAACTTTAATTCTGCATCTTCGTAGATTCACACGATATCATTCATCTTAATCTCGACAAACAAGTCACTATACGGTGATCCATATTAATCATCAAATAAACTTTTATTTTATTATTTCATGTATAATTCTTTACTCAAAGATTTATCTTAATAATATTTTTACTATTTTATAAAATTGTGTACTTCATGACTTGACATACACGTGCAACGCACGTGTCGAGAAACTAGTATATAATAAATTTATATATGTTATATACAAAAAATATACAAATTTTATACACCTCGCAGACTAAAAGTGATACTTGCCCCAAGTTAAAATGAAGGATCAAGTCATGAACAAAATATTGATACAAGTCATGAACTAAATATGAATAAAGCCATAAACAAAATGTCTTCCTGAAGTACTAGTTCCCCTTTCAATAGAACTAGCTTTCTTTCTCTTCTCTTTCTTACTTTCAATCTAAGGTATTGGAAAATCGTGAAGTTGGTTATGTGTTTTTTCAAGTAATAGGTTATGTTCAAAATCTTTCACTAATTCTTTAGGATAGCCTACAAATTACAATGAAAGGAAATGGAACGGCCTACAATATTTGAGTAGGCTGTGGCTTTTACTTGAAGGAGAGATTTGAACCAGGGGAGGGGAGGAATTTAGCTAATCACCGGCGGGTAAAATCACACTCATCGCTTTCAATATGGATCATATAGATAGATGAACAATTTTAAGAAAATGAATATAGAGGAGTAATAAATTTCATTGACTCCGACTCTAAATCTTGAATTCGTCTATAGGACCTTGAGTGAGAATAAGGATAAAGCTATCCTTCCACCATATAACCTTGTAACTCCAGGACTCGAGCCTGTTACACGTACGTCAAAGACCAGGCTACTACCGAGCTTTTCTTGTAAAAATGCAGATGTAAATCTGGTCATTCTCTACGTTAAAAATTGGTGAGCTAGCTCATTCCATGGATCAGAAGATGAAGTGAGAAAGAGGAAAAATGGAATCAAATCTTACCAGAAAAGCTAAAGACTTTTACTTCAAGACCACAGTAGAATATATCATAAAGAATCAAATGTGTCATTCATTCATATCTCAAGGCAAGGGCTGGTTTTCAGGAATACAAACCATAATAAGAAAACTCAGCTATTCTCATGCCACTACTATAGTCATTCAAAAGTTACAACAATCCCCACCATCAAAACCAAGTATTTTTTTGAGGTGATATAAAAAAAACTTTTTCCTCTGTATACCTAGACTAAAACACTGACAAAGAAACTCCAGAAGGAATGAAACAAAGTTTGAAGATAGCATTGAAGCTATAGTGATAGAAACAAGATGTTTCATACCGATAGATGATCCATCTTCAAGCTTTGCTCTGCTGACAAGAACCAAGAGTATATAGTTCCTGTTCAAAAAAAATGGAGCAGAAGTAAACATCATAATTTGCAACAGAAAACTTCAAAAGGTATAAAAGAAAAAGAAAAAAGAGGTTACCTCGGAGTAACGGACATGATCCTTATGCAAGTTAGAAGTTTTCACAATAGTCTCCCACTTACTACCATCAGCATGGGACTTCTTATTCTGCTTCTTGGAGCTCAAACTTGAGAACGGAGTTCTCAAAGGAATGGAAGGCAGCGTGCGCCAAAGCCAAGATTCAGAGGGAGATTTAGGTAAGGGTGGTGGTATAGGAGATTCCAAGGAGGTAAGGTTAGAATCTTTTGGGTCATTTGCATTTTGGTTATCTTCATTTTCTGTACCTAAATTTCCATAGGGATGCACTTTTGAAGACTCTAAGGCTCCAGATAGTGTATCAAGATTTTGCTTTAGTTTCAAAGACTCCTGATCAGCAGGGCCTTTGTGTGTTGATATGGAAATGGGAGCAGCTTCCACCAAATCAAGGGACTCCTTCTCAAAAACCTGTTTGCTCTCTTTCTCTGAAACATTCCGGTCTTTGGCACCTTGAGTACGAGCGGTGGCATCCATATTTTCTAGTACTTTACTGCTTTTAACCAGAGTCTTCATATTCCTACCAGAGGAGTTCACTAATCCCTTGGGTTTTGAGGAAGCAGAATTACGGGCTGAAATTTGCACATTATCTACAGAATCTATGTACAATGTTTTCTCAACTACTTCACTTGGTGAATCAGAAAATCTTCCTGTGCCAATCTGCTGTGGTACTTTGTCCTTGACAGTGTAGCAACCTTTCCGGAATGAATCAAAGCGACTAGCCCAAAGACTCTCCATTTCCTTTGGCACACCAAGAAACCTTGTACCTTCATTGAATGGAGACGGAGGTGCTACATTTCGATAGGGAGATATAGCCCCACTTCTTGAACGTCTTCCAGGAGAGATTCCAACTAGCTTACATGAATCACTAGGGTTAGGCAGTTGGCCGGAAAAACTTCCATTATCAGCTTTGTACAGCTCGCGAGACAGTACTCCAGAGTGAAATCTTTGCTTATTTATAGTATCACAACCATTCTGCAAAGAACATGATTGTTAGAAACAAACATAAATCTTATTAATCATAGGACAGAAAAAAAGAAACTGAGGAAAACTATAATAATTACCTTCTCAAGAGGTCCACTATAAGCTTTTCTAGCTAATCTCTTGACTTCATGAGCATAAGATGTGGGGCTCTGTGGCGTCTTTGGTTTCATTCCTGAAACTCTCTTTACTGCTTGAGCTGAGGCTGTGGGAACATGTGTCTTCACTTTTAGTCCTGGCAGTGGATTTAATAGGCATAAAGAATTCTTCACACAAATCCGAGGGAAAAATTTCCACCCTTTACTTGGCCTTTTGTGCTGATTCTCAGACACATCATCTTCAATTTCACTTCCTACATCGTCTAGATAGCCGCTATAATATGAGACAGGTTTAGACTCCATCCGCTTAACTATTGGCTTTCGTTCCACGGGTACTGGCTTCGGTTGTTCAGTACTGACTGGAACTTGCTTTTTCTGAACATATTGAGGCGTCTCCAAAACAACAGCTTTTGCTGCAGGTAAGAATCTACTCATCATAAAGTCTCTAGTTTGGGAGTCAATGGAAAAGGTTCCAGATGGTTTTGAATCTGAACTTTGATATCCGCTCAGACCACTGACACTGCAGTCCAAGGATAAGGATTCGGTAGGTGACAATGTTTCAGGAGCATCAGAATAGGCATCATCCTCACTTTCTCTATCTCCTCTTGTATATATACTTTCCGCTAGGCTATCCAGTAAAGCAGCATGATCAATCCAAGGAAGTCCTTCAGCTGGAGACTTGTAAATGTTTTGAGTACGAGGCCTTTCACCTGAATAGAACCGAATAGTCTCTGGCAATCTTCCCGGGGGCAGCCTAGGACTACTTGAACGCTTCACTCGAAGGTTAGCTCGGGCTTCATTGTCACCTTTTCGTCTACCAGGGATCTGTTCCCACATAAATGGAACAGCTACTGGTTTAGTCACCTCACTCAATTCCCAGTCTGATTTTTTGACAGGAAGTGATTGTTGTCGATTCGGTGGCGCCCTTTCTATAATCTTTTTATTTGCTCTCTCATGAGGGGATAAAGATGATGAAATTTTCCTCACTGATAAAAGTGGTGCATTGAAATCCAGCTGCTTTTTCTCCATTTCCCTGGGCTACTAACAAATTTTCTATTCCTTTCCCTCCCAATCAACAATGGGGAATTATGCCTTCCAAAATCTTCAAGCAATCACTACAAAAGAGGAAATCAAGAAATCAAAATGCAGTTTCAAGAAAAAAATAAATAGATAAGCAACATATCTCAGGACAGAGTTAAGTCATAAATGAGGAAGGGAAGTACATTGAATGTTTCAGATTCATAATAATTGGACTAAACAGAATTAAGTGAAACTACAAAAATATATTTATTCACGGAATTAAAGCAAAACAGTGAATGAAAATACTCCTAAGGGAGCTTCTGTCTTTAACAAAGAGAAAAGAAAAGAATAATTCTCCATTGCAAATTCCCAAAAAGAAAAAGAAAAGGAAAAAAGAACTCAGCAAGAATGGAATAACATGCTATTTCCTCTTGGATAATTATGCAAGTAAACTGAGAAGATGGGCAGCTAATTAACAACAAAATCAAAAGAAGTGAGAGAAAAAGAGAGATCTTAAACCAAGAACAATTGAATAACTCTTATTTCCTGCTAATTTCCTAACTTAATTAATAGCCAAACAAAAATAAGATCTTGTTCACTTACTAAGTAGCCAAAACAGAACCATAACCAAAATTCTTATATTTTCTTTAGCCAGTATGGACATCAAACTAAAAACAATGGAAATTATTTCTCAACTACCATGAGGAACAAACAGGTAAAAAACTTCTCACAATGCATCAAACACAAAGATAATAATCAAGAAAGGCCACAGTGTACCAGTTCCAAGAACTTCTTTGTAATCACCAATACGCGCTGGAATAAATTCAAAACTTTACCAAAAAATTTCAAGAAAATGAGGACCCAAGAAGAGAATTTTGAAGTTCTTGAAGTTCATACCTTGAAGGGGGTTTAAGTTGAGTGAAATGTGGGCTTGAATGATGGCGCGAGTTGAGGAGTGGAAAAAGGAACAAATTGGAGAGAGAAAGTGCAACAGTGGTCAGTCTTTGCTTGTGCTTTTCTGCTTTTTTAGTGATGACTGGCAGCACTAGTCTGTAGAGTAGAGTGGGGGGTTGAAGACCGGGGGGTGAGGGGGGGTAGGGGGGAGGTTGAAAGTGAAGGAGTATTGATTAATGGTTCACATAAAACGTGGAAATGGGGGAGGATCAAACTGACAGTTATAATAACCTAACGCTAACGGCCTTAAATTTTTCGGCTGCTCTATTTATCACTTCTTCAGCTCAATATCAGTAACTACTTTTACGGGTGTTCGTCGGTCGGTACGGTACGGTATTTAGATATTTCGGTTCGGTATTTTTGGTATTCGATTTCTTAAAATCCTATATCAATATCGTACCTAATTAAATTCGGTATGCTTCGGTTTTTCTCCTTTCGATTTCGGTTTATTCAGTTCGGTAATTTCGGTTTATTCGGTTTGAATACCTAACTAGTGCATAGAGCCATAGACTATAATATTCTTAATTAAAGTACTCAAAAATACAAAACTGAAAATGTTTGTTGACAAAAAATTTGTCCAAAACTAACAAATATCGATCCAAATAGAGAAAAGTGTACATAAAAGAATATTTGATTATTAGAAATGTCTTGTTACTTGTTTAGAGTTAATTGATGAATTTAGAGAATAAAGGAAAGTAAAATTTAGATATTATAATTGATAATATATGTTTTGTGTAATATAATATATATTTCGGTACGGTATAGGTATTTCGATTTTTTATTTTAAAAAACCAAATATCATACCTAATACCATTTTTTTGAAAAAGTTAAACCAAATACCATACCAAATACCAAAATATCGTATACCAAATACCAAAATTTTCGATTTCGGTACAGTAATTCGATATTTACCAAATTATGCACAGCCCTAACTACTTTTGGTTTCTTTTTAATTGTGTACAACCGTATTTTATTTCACACACAAAATCAATTTTTGTCTTTTACCCATTAATTTTTTGATCTATTAACTTAATATGAAGTACTCACTTAATTAATACTTTTTCGGTGTAAGTTTACTTGTCTACTATACTAAAAATATATGTCACTTTTATTTTTCCAGCTTGGAAAATCAATGACTAATTTACCATTTTGCACCTATACCATTATAATATCCCAACATTTTGGATTTATAAGAGTCAAGTTAATTTTTCAATAATAATAATAATTAGGGATGATTTAGTAAATCATTATTTTATTTACTGTTAAGGAGTGTATCAAGTCAATAGTGGACAAGTGAATTTGAATGTAACGAGTACTCTACTACACTAGTTGAAACAGGAAGATGAATTCTACGGAAGAAAAATAAATAGTACTTTGTAAATATTGAAAAGCTTTTCACATTTGAACAAAACCGTATCCAAACGCTAAATATTGATGTACTATCTTATACTTCATTTCTTTTTTTAATACGTATTTAAATTTTTCTAAGATAATGATCGTTTTTAATGCTAAAGCTTTCGTGGCAAAACTTTTGTAGTGGACTGTGGAGCAGTACTAAATTTCGTAATGTCTATTAATGCATGTGCTCTTGATCAAATGTCAACTGTGGATAGAGATAATCAGTTGTGTACACTGTTAGAAGCTTAATTACTTTGTACCTTACTTAAGTAGTAATTTGTTAGTACTGAAATTAAAGTGTACACATTTGGAATACGTACCGCGTCGGACTCATGAAAAAGAACGTTTTTTAAAAGTTTTTTCATTCACAATATTTGAATTTAAAGACCTTTGATTAAGGGTAGAAAAATTTCGTTCATCCCATTACAAAGAAGACGTTGACATAACGGATATATACGACTTAAGCAACGAAGGCAATGTTAATTGAACATTGATGCTTATGTTTTCTTGCAATTATTTGCTTTTATTTTCTGGCCAACCCGACAAATAGGGGTAGACGTTCGAGCACTTAATTGAATAAAAAAAATTTGATTTAAATATTCGATTTTCGGATTAAATGACAATTTAAATCCGATCCAAATAAGCTCGGATTGAATCGTATTTTTCAAGTTCGATTTTGGATTAATAGGTTTAGATATTTCGAATTTTCGATTTTAAGCCTATAAGTTTAGATATTTTTTCTTCTTACAAAAATGAACATCCAAATAAAGTATTCATGTTAAATTGCTTAAAAAGTTCCTCATTCCCACTACAATCATCCAAATAAAGTATTCAAGTAATGAAATCATTATCAAGAAAATACAACAAAGACATTAATAAGGTCGATAAGAAGTAGCAATAGTAAAACTATGCCAAAATAGAAAGTATTCTGACAGTAACTTAATAATTAGTATTTAATATATGAGATAATGTCTAATGAGTTAAGTCTTGGACTTACTATTATTAGCATATGAATGATGGACTAAATATAAAATAATTTTTTTTTTTAAATTTTCGGATATTCATTAATCTGAAGTACCAAATCCAACATCCAACCTGAAAACCAAAATTTTTAAAAATTCTGATTTCAATTTGGATATCTGAGTTTGCCCGAATTATGTTCACCCCTGCCCACAAAGAGATAAAATAATAGCACACTCACACTCTACGCATGAGTCATGACTCAAGACCCTAATTTTTTCTATATAGTGATGTTCTTAGTACTCTTGAAACAAAACTGTTTATATTGAACAAGTTCTTGCCTAAGTTTGTATATTTCTAACAAGTCCTCATTGAATATGATTCATATCACTTTTTCGTCCGGAATAATGTGAATGAAGAAAGTCCAAAAGAATTACAAAAAGTAGCTAGTCCCTCACTTAATATGCGCATTAAGTTATGGTTTTAGACTATAGTGGTTGTATACAAATTTTATACAATAATTTCTTGGTCTAAATTCCCAACAACTTCTTAAAAAGCTTTTAAGAAACTGCCAATCGGGCCCTCAGAAAAGTAAAATCTTCAAACTATTTTTTGTTGAGAGAAAATCTGGAATTTGTGCTTTCAACTCCTCACATCACATGTGAGGATTATTATCAACGGAATACTTTTTAATTTGATGACTTTTGTTGTCTGCCATAATTGACTGTGGCGCCAATCCATTAGTATTTGTTTATTAGGGGTATTATTTTTTGTTAATTAAGAAAGGTTTGTCTGTTGGCCACGCTTAGGAAAATGAATATAAAGGTAAAAGACAAACAATGTCACCTTCATTTTAGCCCCTAAATAGACGGTTGGCTTCTTTCAAGAAAAGACAGAACTATTATTAGTTACACAGACATAATCGCCGAATTCTCAGTATGTTTAGTGATTTGTTGGATTTGCTTTTGTTATTTGGATTATTATTTGGACCTCACTCTTTTAATATACTTGAGAAAATGACGCTCAAAAAGAAAAGGAGCCAAAGAAAGAAAGAGTGATATCTGGTAGCTGAACTTGTCAAATTTGTCCTAAAATTGCGCCAATTTTTTTTTTTTGCTGGTCACTTCAGTATTTAGAAATCATTTATTCTTGTATTCTCTATAAAATCAAAATACAGTCAGACATCTCTATAACAACATCCCTATTTAACAGAACTTCACTATAAAAGTCAAGTTTTTTCGGAACCAAATTTTATGGTCTGTTATAATGTATGTTTTCTATAGCAGTAATTTGCTATAATATCCAAAAATATCTAGAACAAATAATTCTGTTATAGAGAGATTTGACTGTAGCATGTGAGGTCTTCGTAGTAATCTCCATCTCTTTCCTATTTTCTAAAACAAATTAAAAGGAGCAAGCTAGCTACAATTAATGCCATTGCCTTGTGAGGATTAAGTCTAATTTTGGGATTGAAAATAAAGGAGGTCCCCTACACATAATCAATGTTTGGTTAATTAAATGTATGACGAAAATTGATAGGCCATGTGAAGTTGTCTTGTGTTTTAAGGACTTCACAATCAATCCTTGTGAAAGATGATGGCAATTATGTGTCTCTTTTTTTCTTCTTTCTTCTCCCAAGCAATCTTCTTATTACTACACATTCAATTCAAGCATTAAACTTGGGCCACAAAAGTTAGGCAGCTACCATTCCTGTAATCTATTTTTTCAACTGCCTATGAAAATGGGAAAAGACCAAACCTCACCCATGTCATGTCACATCTTGCAATTATTATTAGTATCAAAATGTTTAATTTAACCTATCTTTGGAGCCATTAATTAGCAATAGCAAACCTGTTAGTCGTTTGATTTGGTTGTAAATAATAGGCCTGCCAATCTAAACTATTTAAATATCTTTTAATAAAGATCTATAAGTCAGATGAAAAGGAAATAATTTTTCTTGGGATTGTAACACAAATAGCTGGACAGAGTTAATGTTTACTTTTTCTAGTCCGTTACATAGATTATATATTACTCCCTCTGGTCCACAATAAGTAATCAATTTGCTTTTTTTTTATTTTGATCCAAAATAAGTGTCAATTTCTTCTGATCACGCCCAACTATGCCTTATAAAAAGGACAAAGCGGTCGTTGCAAATATAATATTTAGCCCAGAGTCGAATCCCACAAGGAATTAACCTACCAATTACTTTTGTCAGACTCACTGAATTCTCCGTAATCAACTTCCCAGATATTCTGAATAACACTTGGTGATATTTCTACTAACTATAACTGAATAAAATTAAGTAAACTAAAAGCTAACTATGACGGAGTTGTAAACAAATAAGAGAAGGATCTAAGGTCGTGATTTCCCCTATTAATGGAATCCCTTCTTGTTATGTTTCATATAGATTTGCCTAATCGTCTCTATCGATCATGAGCACTCTTACTACCGTAAATCTCTCCCGAGTAATTACTGTTGATACCCAATTTTTTCCTATATATTTTAATATGCAAAATACTTTCAAAATAGCATATGTATGTATATATAGGTATGTTCAAATGTTTTATTATTTTTCCATAATTTTTAAATGATTTTTAAATCAATTTATTGCCCCATTTTATCCAGAAAAGCCCAATAATTACTCCCAAAATTATCATTTTGGTGATTTATTTATTTGACTCTCATATTTATACTAAAATATAGATAACATAATTTTTGCACATTTTTTAAAAATTTATTTAGTATTTTAAAA